TTCATAAATATTGATCAGATTTCCTAGCCACTCATTATTATTTAATGCCAGCAAATGCTAAGTTACGACTTAAATTTTACCAAAGATTAAAGTGATCATAATGCCAAATGAAACATTTTCAATTTTATTGTTTTAAGTTTCCCTATTATGGATCTCAACTAGTAACTATACTTTGGAATATGCTTTCAGAGAAGTAAACAAGGAAAAACAAGAATGAAATTGCGGTATTGTCAGAAAGGCGTGAAAAATCATGTACTTTAACTAGTTTTTTATGAATCATCACATTAACTTAATCGAGTATGCAATGAAATCTGCACCATCGTGTGTGGCCGAGTTTGGGGGAAATGACAACATATTATCAAGTCAACTGAAAATTATAGCATCAAAATTAATCTAAATGCTTAAAACAGTAAATCACATTTCTGGTTTGTGATTTCCGGCACCGTATGCATACGGTACTTTCAACTTTAAAATTGTCTGGTAATACTGGAACCCAGACCTAGAGGTAATCCCACAAGACTTAATTTGGGTAGCAAGAAATGCCAGAGACGAATATTTTTGATCCACCGATCAGAATCCATAAAATAATTCCTAAAATACAGGATTTTTTACCACTAGTCTATAATCGCAACTATGGTATGGGCTCATTGCTTACTTCGTTAATTAGACTGACAACATTGTATGTTGCGCAATCTAGTTTGATCTATTTTGCATCAGCATAAATGAACTGTTCACGAATATTTTTGTGGCTGCAAAGCGCAATGGTAACTGTCTCGGGCGTGTCGTCTTATTTGGTTAAAGTGCGGCTAACGACTGGTGGGGTGGGGTGGGGGGGGGGGTTGAGGAGTGTGCAACCCAATCTCCTTTGTTATCGATTTAGCCTTGGGGTATATTGGTAGTAGAAGAAGCGAGTTCCATGTCATAACTATTAAGGAATAGCTGCTTTAAAGAGAGAATGTCACGGTACGAGCATTAGAACACCGATCTTCTAGGTAGGAACGCCAAAAGGCAATTATTATTATTGGCTAGTTCTTAAATTCCGCCCCCCTTCCCCCTCCACAATCAGTAATAACAATTACCCCAGGCATAGATAGCTTCCAACTATTTTGGATCATTTAAATTGTTTAGTACTAAACTGAGGTTGCAATTACATGATTGCTAGCTGATTTCTGAGTGCACCATCATACAATTTGAGAAGTGTGACTTCGTTTGCTCTCATGCAAATTGAAATTTAATTTAAAAAACCGAACCAACATTAACGATAATTTATTTTTCTTTAAAAACTAAATCTCAATCCAAAGTACTATTTTTTTCGAGTATTATCAGGAGAAAGCATATTTAGGGAATTAGGTAATCCTTGATACAATATATCAGTTTGATTTAATGCCTGAGATAAAATTGTTGTTTTCCCTGGAAGCAATGCTGCAACGGTTTCAATTCATGTAAAATTTTTGCCACGATGGAAGTATTCCGAGTGTTATCCGAACTGAGTAGCCCTTTTGCTCCCAATTTCCTCAAAAGTTCTTGCATTGTGATTGGCCTACGCAGGAGGTAATTTCGAATGGTGTCAAATAACTTTTCATGTGAGGATTTAACTGGCGGATTAGAAGGAGGTGGAGGAGGAATTTCACTTGTTTTGAAGCGTTTTGGAGGAGGTGCAAATTTTTCTGAAGGTCCTGAAGACTTTGAACACTTCTTTTGAGATTCTGCATTAAAATCTTCTCTAGTATCAGAAGAGCCACTTGAAGAAGAAGAAGAAGATGCTTTCTCCATCTCGTCAAGGAATACCTCACCACTAAACCATTGTTTTTGTTGTTGAGATTGTGCGTCTAACCGGTTTTCTTTCTTTTCATTTTCTCTGATCTCCTTCTCCTCCTCATCATCATCCTCCTCCTCACCGCTAATGAATCCCACCTCTTGATCAACACCCTGTATTTCGTAACTCTTTTCTCTCTCATCTTCTGGGAGGTTTTCCTCATCTGAAGTGGAATCTGTTAAATAGTCTAGTTCATACTCGTCATAATCATCTATATCACTTTCTTCTCCGTTCATATCGAAGGGCCCTCCATCTTCGTCATCTGAACCAACGGTAAAATTATTCTTGTGTTTTCGACGAGTTACAGCAGGTCTACCTCTGCGTTTATTGGTTCTACGTCGTCGTTTTTCTTCCATCCTTTTCTGAGCTATTATTTGTTTAAAATCAGATTCTTCGTCTCCTGATCCCACTTCACCATCGCTTCGATCGTAGACCTTCCACTCGTCAAATTCTGAAACAACTAATTTCTCCTCGATACCCACAGGGTAACTCCGTGTTGCTGGTTTGGCATTTTGTATTATTTTAAACTTGCCACAGACTTTATCTCCGTTAGAAAACTCCCCTTCTCCCCCCTCGTCATTTAAGCGCTTAGTCTTGATCCCTTGTTTCACTGTATACCAATCAGACACCGGATAGGCATCAAAGCCTCCATCACTCCTATGAGTGAAGATGAAATATTTGCTGTCATTTAATGTGCCCTCCTTCACACCCCGGTAATGTTTAGCAATTTTTCCTTTGCCCACTGTGAGCAGTAAAGGCTGTTTTTCTGCCGAGTATTCTTGCAGTGCGCTGCCATGTTTTCGAAATCGAGCTTTCAGCCTCCTGTCTGCGCCAAACACACTACCAGCTCCACCTGTCGATTTTTTCTCGATAGGATTTGGGTAGAGATCCATGTTATTCTCGCGTTGAAGAAATACCTCATTTTTGGAGTATATCTGAACATCCTTCTTATCATACTTCAGCACACTGAATTTCCGATTTGGATGTGGATGAACACGAACCTTATAAATTGAAAAAAAATAGACTTGTTTAATATTTTTTCGCTAATAAAGTTGAGCAACTGCTCCTGATTTACAAATTGACGTAGAACTTAGTTTCATAAAATATTTCAATCAAGCTGTGAGATCTAAGAATCTAAAGCTATTTTTTACCTTAAATCTGATGCGCGGTAACTGCTTACTCGAAATATTTCCATTTGATCTGGCTTTTTTTTAATTCAATAACAAATAGTGTTCCTTTTTTATTACCAGATGCCAAGAAAAATATATAAAATGATAAATGATGGTACGGAAAGAAAGTAAATGCTGATATTGACTAAAAGTTGGAATGTTCTAATTAATGACCTCAATACATTGACCCCCAATGGCCTTTTGGTAAAATTAATCAATTTTGGTGAGTTACCAATGTTTCGGTCGCCTGTGTTCACCTCACAAGGAAAATGAATAGGCGCTGTTAAGCCGATTGCCTTATTTTATAAACTCTCAATAAGCAGGAGCCTATTCTCCCATCTACTTGACTACTCACGGACGTCGAATTTTGGAATGTGAAGCGGTGAAATAGTCATTAAGTTACTAGCGTACAAATCTAATCAATAAGTAATTGAAATGAGCCCCTTTGGTTTTTTAAGATCTCTCTGATCTACAATTTTTTTCATTTTTCCACACTGGACCTTACTGTTGTCCAAATTATGCTGATGCTCCTTGAGGAGGTATAGTAAAAACCAATAACACCGTAATAAATTGAGTAGGTCTTTGGGACATTCACTTGACCTAATTAAACAGATTAGGGCAATGAGAAGTCTTGTAGTATAAGAAAGATCACTGGAGCTCATTTATGATGAATCATAATGAAGAGAGAAGTTTAAAGGAGACAAATATATACTTAAAGTGTATAATCGAATCCATCGATTTATATGAGCAATTCGGGGTGTGCGATAGATCTACCTCCACGCGGTGCACCCTGAGCAACGTATACTCATACGGCAAAAAGTCAATTAACCGAGAGTTGACTTCAAACTACCAAGGCCCCCCTGTATGAAATATTCGACCACTTCCACTAAATTTTCAACCTTCGTCTTTGAAACACTCTTCAGTTCCCCTCCTCTCGACTTTTTTCACTTTGATGTTCCTTCCCCTCTGTGAAGCCTGAAGTCAACTAAAGGGCTAATGATAACCATCAAAACGCCCGCCATTTGATATAAAT